CTGCAAGATTTACATATATATGGTATTGGTATCTTACCCATTTCCCATGGCACCATTGGCAGGTTTACATATAAATGTTTTGTGTTTCTTCTTTTTCTTAAGATCCCTGACATAACACTGGAATGTGTTGTATTCTGACGGCAAGATCCATGTACGAGGAGAGAAGTTATACTCCTCGGGGTGCGCTTTACCAATTCTGAGAAAGAACAAGACTTATTAAAGTTATTATCACCGTTCATTTGGTCCAAATACCATAAGTCCGGCAGTAAATATATTAAGTTTTCTTACTTTGTAATATTCCTTGCTAGACAGTCTTTCCGACATATTTCCCCCATTCCTGGAAAGTGGTTAATTCTCTGTGAACAGAATAAATACAATTATATTATACCAGCATTGCCTGAATAGGTAGTTCTGTTTGGTCAAGAGTGTGTTTTCAATGGTTGGAGATGATTAACAGCAACATTCATTTGTTACTAACAGATACATATGAATACCATATAATCTCTAATTTAGGCATCACTTTTTGAACATTTCAATCTTTCTTGACGCAAAAATTTAGTCTAATTTAGGTTTTCCGTAGTCAATGACACCTATTCAAAAGTACGATATTTATTGTTGGTAGCGTGAATGGGTAAACTGCGTTTTGACAAAATTAAATTCTTCTTCAATGCTCAGTTTATTTGAAAACAAATAATTTTTTGATCTAAATAAAATCATCGAAATCAAAGCCAAACAATCGCACTACAACAACGGTAAATCTCTTTTGTGTTGCGTTCACCATGAAGTTGCTGAACTGTCATTAACATGTTTAAATGAGCTATGGTAATTCAGCACCATCCAGCATTTTGATTAGTTAATTAGCGACTTGACCTATCAGGTCAAAGAACAGTTACAGATCACTTGTATGCATGAAACAACATGGCAGATATCATATCGCATCAAGCGTTTACATGTGGCCAAAATCATTCCTTTACAGTGAAACTAAGTTGAATTTTATTTGCAAGGAATTTATTATTTGTACGTCATTATAATCACTACTGAGTAATAATCAACAATTTCAACACTTCAAAAACAAGTAAGTTATTCACTAGTGAAATGAAGCAAGTGATTGCGCTACTGTACCGAGAAATTTTGCTACTAAGCAATGCATTCGTGTTTGTTTTTATTTGAAACTTCTTTTAGAATAACATTTTTGTTACCAAAAAAAATATAACAAATAAATGCATATTACAGTTTTTTTGAATGACTAATTTTTCAAAATTTCATGATGCCTGTTTTAGAAGCAAATTAAGGCCTTTCACTCATTCCTGAAGTCTAAATTAGAGTGACACCTATTCAAGAGATTATATGGTACATCTTGAATAGTTGAATTAGTATTCACTTTTACATGAGTTAACATGATGTATGTAACATACCACATCAATATTCACTATTTTTAATTATTTCTGTCAGTAATAATAATTATCATGTACCATTCCCAGATGACCCTGACTTTGTTGTTTGTATGTAAGTGATTTAATTCCTCACCTGATAAGGTTTTAAATCTACAATTCTTTCTGACGAAACAAAACTATCACTCCAATATAGAAAACTGAAAATAAAACAAGAAATGTTACTCTTCATCATAGGATAGGGTTTTACTGTTTGTTCTGTACTACTCTAGTGTGACATTCCCAGATCATTCTCATTGTTTAATCAGGGTTTTATTACTACTGTAAAAACTATTAATTCACAGAGAAATACATCTATGTGTGTTCAATTTCCAATGAATTACGCAGAGCCCAAGAATGGTAGTTATTGTACA